GACCCCTCCTTGGGTTTCCAAGGCAGTATCACTACGGAAGTAGGATTGCCCAACCTTCCTTCCGAGGAGTGGCTGGTGGGTTTGAACCGCCAGCCTTTCTGGTTAGCAGTCAAGTGCTTTAGCCACTATGCTACCAGAGCTCCTAATATAAGTATAGAAGTGATCTATTTTAAAGAGTTGTAGAATTGCCTCATCTCTTTATTGTTTTCTCTCCAGGCTGAATATTCCCCATCTCTCCAGCCATTCCTGTGTAGGAAACAGTCTCTAAACCTCTCGTCCTTCTAGTCCTCTTCCTCATGAGACATTTGCTAGAGTCTGCTTTGCTGGTTATTGAATGCCCTCCAAGGCCAGGCACTACTCTGCACAGTCAAGCATAGTACTTCAGATACAGTCTGAGGAAGGCAAAGTTGTTTCGTGGAAAAGAAGCTCCCAGTGAAGACTTGGCTTTGCCCTTGGCTCTGTGTTTTGCTTGGTATCCTGGGTAGTTGTCTTTTGGCTTTTTTTTCCCCCCCCTGTAAAATGAAGTGATTGAATCGGATAACTTTTAAAGCCATTTTCTAATGTTACATTGTATGATTACTTCATGGTGTGGTGCAGATAACAATTGGGCCTAAATATCTTCTTTAATTCAGAGATTAAAGATCTACCAAAGATTATATTGGCTGTTTGTAACTACTTCCTAAATTCCCACTAAGCTTCCAAGCCAGCTTTTCCTCAGTTTGTACCTGTACAGATGATCTTCTAAGCTGTTAAAGAACTTTATCCTTACAGACTGTTCATCTGGGCTTATCTTTGTGCTCTGGTGCTCTGTGTTTTGCCTCACTCAGGTTAACACACAGACCTGTAAAGTGACAGCATGATGTGGTGGGAAGCATGAAACCCAGAGTCAGACCTGGGTTGCCGTTCCTTGGCATACCACTTTCAAACAAGGTGACTCTGGGCAAATCATGGGACTTCTTTAAGCCTCAAGTTCCCTTTCTTTAGAGGATGGGTACCAGGATACCATTGTCTACCATGTCTGCCTCATAGATCTTTTGGAATTGTCAAATGAGATAATATGTGTGAGCCTGATTAATAAGCTGTAAATATTCTGTTGGTATTCAGTCAGGAAATCATTTACACAAATGTTGAATAGACTCCTTTGGCTAACAGTTTCCTTTTTTTTTTTTCTTTTCTTTCTTTTTTTTTTTTAATTGTGATTTGGGTGAAAGTTTACAGAGCAAATTCACTTTCCATAGAGCAGTTCACATACTCTTTGTCTCATGACATTGACTACAGTTTACCCCAGTGCAATAGCTTTTCTCCCATTTCCTCCTGACAGTTCCCTCTTGCCTGTGTCCATCCCTCCATGCACCCCTGCCCCCTGAGCTGTCTCCCTGTGCATAAACGGCCCTCCTCTCTCCCATGATTATTCTCTCTGAGGAGTATATCTACTTCAGGTAAATGTTCACCTCATATGCCTGTCTTTTGTTTGTCTGGAAGCCACAGGTATGGGTTCAATTCCAGACCTGAAGGGAAGCTAGGGGCCATAGTCTGTGGTTCCACCTGGCTCTATCAGACCAGCAAACCTGGTCCCCCCCTTTTTTTTTAACCAAATGATTTTGAGTTTTGTTCCACATTGTTCTCCCTCTCTATCCAGGATCTCCTACATAGATCCCCCTCCGAGTGGTTGACAGTGGTAGCCGGGCACCATCTAGTTTTTCTGGTCTCATCGTCATATAGGCTGCGGATCACATGGTGTACCAGTGGCTGACATTTTCTTATGTCTACATGGTCATAAGTGACCATGAGTCTGAGTGTACATGTGGGTTGGACAGATTTGGATTATAGCTCAAGACTTTATGTTTCTTATTTTAATGCTTTTCAGTAACCTAATCTTTGAAAATATAGTTGCCTCTGGGTTAGTAACTGCTCTGGTAGTGTAGTGCCTAAGGCATTTGACTGCTAACCAGAAGGCTGGCAGTTCAAACCCACCAGCCACTCCTTTAGAGGAAGACTGGGCAATCTACTCCTGTACAGATACTGCCTCAGAAACCCAAGGAAGTGTCAGTATGAGTCAGAACTGACTTGATGGCATGAGTTTGATTTTTTTCCTAAACTTTTTCTGAACAGAGGGCAGGCCTCTGGTATTGTAACAAACCTCAGTGTTGCCTCTTGCTCTGTTGATGAGGAATCAGTCCTTTGGCACATCTGTTAAGGGGGTTTTCAGATGGCTTCCTTAGGGCCAGAACCTCTTTTTAGGGTTGTAAGGCTCCTGTGGTACAGTGCCTAAGGCATTTGACTGCTAACCAGAAGGTTGGTGGTTTAAACCCATCAGCCACTCACTCCATGGAAGGAAGACTGGGCAATCCACTTCTGTAAAAATTTACCACCTCAGAAACCCAACAGGGATTGCTGTGAGTCGGAATCGACTCGATGGCAGTGAGTTTGGTTATTTGTTTTTATAGGGTAGTATACAACTGATTGTTGTCCATTGTTACTCTCATCTTCTTTTCAACGTGGTGGTATAGGTAGCATTAAATCAAAACTTGAATTCTCAAGGGAGCCGACATCACTCATTGTTTATAGCTTGTTGGAATAGCTAGCTGCTCAAGATCCGCTGTGGTAGTTAAGGAACTAGAATCATGTTACTTGCCACTTCTTGAATAACCCAAATGAGGACTGGCCAATGATTTAAAGCTGAGGCCATAAATAGCAAGGATCATTTGAAGTGCCTGCTTACCTTTCATTTGTGTCAAAACTTAGTGCTTCATTCTGGAGGCAAATGTGGTTCTGTCGCATGACTGGAATGTGGAATTTAAGCTGTCAGTGTTTCTGTAGCAATTTTCTCCCAAGGAGTGCTTGGTAAGATTCGTCAACAAGGCACTTCTGCCTCTCTGATAGGACTCTTTTAGAGAACCTAAAGGGCAGCTTAGACTGAGAACTTCAAACTTGTTACTTTCATTGAATCAAAGCATCAGTAGTTCTGATGAAAGAGCCAAGAGTTTCTGTTGTGGCCTTCAAGATTAGGGAATGACCTGGTACTTAAGCATGATCTAGTACTTACAGGCATTTAGAAATCTAATCTGTAAAGGGGTATTACTGTCACTGTCTTTGAAAGTATTCTTACCAAATATGATACAGAACCTGTTTTAAAGTAATTTATTTTACTTTTGTAGTTGTTGAGAATATACACAGCAAAATCTACATCAGTTCAGCAGTTTCTGCATGTACAATTCAGTGACATTAATTACATTCTTCAAATTGTGCAGCCATTCTCATCCTCCTTTTCTGAGCTGTTCCTCCCGTGACCATAAACTCATTGTTCACTAAGGTCTTGTCTAATCTTTTGTGTTGTTGTTATTCCTTGATACCATATAGATAGATCTTACAAGAGGACAATTCACAAGGTAGACATTTTCACTAGTTAAGGTAAACTGTTGTTTGGTTTTAGGAAGACTGCAGGGGATAGTGTCGGTTTGAGTTTTAAACATTCTCTCAGGGCAATAGTTTCAGCGGTTCATCCAGCCTCCACGGCTTCAGAAAGTCTGGAGTCCGTGAGAATTTGAAATTCGGTTCTGCATTTTCCCCTCTTTAATCAGAGTTTTCAACAGAATTGTTGATGAGAATGTTCAGTAATGGTAGCCGGCACTATCCAGTTCTTCTGCTGTCTTGGCAGAGGAGACAGTTATTTGTGGAGGCAGTTAGCCTCACATTCCATTTCTCCTCCTTCCTCTGTTGTGCCAGGCAAAGAGGAGACCAGGTGTTGTACCTTGGATGGCTGGGTACAGAACTTATTTTTCAAACAAGTTTCACCTATTTCTCCTACTGTTTCCATTGTTTACCCTAAGATTGTTTGGTGATTTTAAGTTTGCTTTGCAATTACATGTTGCCCTGTCCTGAAGATCTCAGGATTTTAATGGAGTCCAGAGAAACATCTTACCCATGATCAGTCAGTGACTGATCTAGACACAATTGAGGAGTCTCTGATTGAGACCTTTGACCATTTTTTAGGGTAAGTTTGATCTTTTTTCAGAGACAAGAGGAGGAGAGAGGAAGGGAGGGGAGAGCAGGGTGTTGATGGGTTTCTTGAACTTGCATAGTACATGTGTGCACCAGTGCAACTGAAGGAAGCCATGTTGCCTTCTGTTTTTCCTGGGGTGGGATTAACCATGCTTTTGCTGCTGATCTCACTTGCAGGTGTGTTCATCCTCGAGGAGGAGTGATTCAGAGCGTTTCTTCCTGGAAGCACGGCCCAGGCACGCAGTATGTCAGCACGCGGCAGACACAGCCATGGACTGCCGTGACTCCCCAGCAGACTTGGGCTTCACCTGCAGAAGTTGTTGACCTCACCTTGGATGAGGATAGCAGGCGTAAATACCTACTGTAATACGGTGTCACTGTGTTTCCTCTGCACTGTTCCCTTCCACTTCCTCCTCTTTGTGGCACAGAAGTCCATTGTCACAGCTTCGGCCTCAGAAGCTGTTTGTGGCGTTTGTAGAATTGAAACTCATGGAAAATTGCAAAAATCCCCCCCTTTTTTTTTTTTAATTAAAAGAAGTCACTTAGGAAAATAACCTATCAACAGAGAAAAGAATTTACTTTCTCTCCCTATGAAAATGAGAATGACAAATTTTTATTAGACAACTTTATTTTACTTGGTGACTTTCAATCTTAGGAAACTCTGCCTTCCTTTCAGAATAATATTTTAATTACCGGGTAAAATGGATTTCAGTTTTTGAATCTTATATTTATTTTTCTTTGTAATGAAACTAATGTCTAGATTTGACCACTATCAGCCCACCCATTGAGTTCTCACCTTAGGGCATTTGAGCACATACCAGTCAGGTCCCTATTGGTACCATGTAGGGCATGTAAAATAAAAAACCTGTCCTTAAAAACAGAAGACAGAAATACTACTTCTTCCTTGTCACTTAAGTCTTCTGCCTTCTTTCCTGACTTTGCCCCTGGCTGACTTTCCACAATACAAATAATTGACATGCCCCTTTGTGTTTATAAATACTATTAAGGTGACTTAGTTGGTCTCCTCACTGCAATAATTCATAACTCTTTGGAACGTGTCTTCTCGGGGCAGAGGCATTTCAGAGAGATACCCACCATGACGTTTTCTGGGCATCTGAGGAGAGGGTTGAAAGCCCAGGAGGGAAATGTCTCTCCCTTTTTCCCCAGGTTTATTTAAGTAGCAGGAGAACATAGAAACCTGTTATTTAGGTAAAAGAGGAAAAGTTGTGTGGCTTCAAAGGCTACAGGCACTTGCAAATCTGAGAGGAAAGTGCCTTTCGTGGCTGGTCTCTCTCTATAAAAGGTATATAACAGCTGCTTAACACCAGAACCCAAGGTGACCTGATGTGGGATTTGGGTATTTTTTCTCTTCTACCTTCTAAAAGTGGAAAAATAAAAGTATACCATAAGAAATCAGATATCAAGCACATAATAGCATGATAGGTATTACAGTATCTAAAAGAGCAAAGGGTAGTAGGAGCTTCAGGGAGTTTGGGAAATGCCAGCATTGGAGTTTTGTGGCGTTGGTAACTCTTTCTTCCTATAACATGTTGTAGTTGAGTGAATTACTTTCAAAGCAATACCTAGAGTTAGAACACTATGTCTGTGCACAGGGGGAGTGAAGTAATATTGTCTTAGAAGACCTCACCTTTCGTTTGTCACAGTCTGTTTTGTTTTTCCATTTTAACCATAGAATGCTGTGATGACCCTCTGTCTCTCTTTCCAAATGCCTTGGTAGCTCTTGCTTACTATAAGAGCATGAAAACTATGTTTTCATTCAGCAAACATACATTTACCAAGTGCCTGATCTGCATAAGGCACTGTGTGGGGTGGGTGCTGTGGCCGCTGCTGAGATGGATGGGACACACCCTGCATGCGCAAGGTCAGAGCCTGCCTGACCTGCCTGCCTGGCCTGCTTTTCTTTAAAGACAAGTTTGTTCCCTTACCGTTCTTCCTGCTGCTTTGTTTCTTCTGCATTTCTGGCCTCCGTGGGAATATCCTTCAGCATGTGCTTTTTGATCTTCTCTGATAGCATCTCATTTGATCTGGCCTCTGTCCTTCATCAACTTTTAGTTTTTCCTACAGTTTACTTTTAATAGATCAGCTTTTTTTTTTTTTTTTTTAAGGGGAAAAAAAAAAAAACAGATCATGAACCTCCAGATTTAGCATTCATGTATCAGTCTCTCATATGGCCATAGTTCCAGACAAAAACCAAAGAGCCAGAGGCCAGAGCGAAATAGGACGTTCTACAAATTCACTACTGGTGTACCCTTGGACTTCACATTTTACTTTAGGATTAATTTATTGAATTTTACTGTTACACTTTTTTTTTTTTAAAAAAAACTTGAATTAAAATGCTAGACAAAGCAGAAATGTACAATTTCTGGTCTGTGTTTTCCAGGAAAATCCATTGAGAGGAGAATAAGGGTGGATTATGAGACTTGACGTTTTTGCAGTTTATTTTTTTCCCCAGTATCACGGCAGAGCCATTTGAAAAGCTGTTTTTGTATTACCTATTCTTAAGTTAACAGGATATTTTCTCCGATTCCATATAGCAGGTGGTTGCCCGTAACATATTTACTTTAGCCCCTAATAGTTATTCTCAAAAGAGAGAATGTTTTTGCTGTGCTGTGTGCACTATGGATTGGGAGCAGAGAGCAAAGTGGTAACCAAACTCTTCTTTTACTTTTTTCTTGCTTTTACATCAGGTTTCACTTTTCCCTCACCTATTCCTAGTCAAGCACCCTGACTGCCTGATTCTATGACCACAACAGAGATTTAGAAATTAAGATGTAAAAGAGGGGTTGGACTGGAGATAGTAGAGACCTTCAGCTCTCTCCCCTCCTAGGTTGGGACTTTGAAGAGACTAGGTTTCAACTCCTCTTTCCTTGTGATCCAGAAGAGCAGATGTGGTTTCTGGAAATGTATTAATGATAAAATTTTTGGCAAACAATCCTGTGATATTTGAAATGTCTTTTAACTTTTTTTAACTGAAGTTTTGCATTTGGTACCATAAGTGGTTTTTTTATGCTTCCACAGGCCAATGTTTATTCAGAGTAATATTTTTGCTGAAATGTGTACTTGGGTCATAGACAGGTTTATGCCACGCATTTGGTTCCATCTCCCCTCCTCCACTTGAACCACAGAGCGGTAACCCAGCTACTGCGTCGTCCTCGCTGCCTGGCACACATGATTGCTGCTCTCCTGTAGTTGTCTTCTCGTTTTTGATGGGAGGGGCCAGACTGAGTAGACTCCGTGTTCTTTACAATTGAGCATCCCATAAATTATGCCTTTATTGTTTCCAGTTGTGGATATGAACCATCTGATTTGCTAATTTAGTCAATTGTTTGTTACTTTGAGGAAATTAGCACTATCATAGATAACTTAAAAGTGAATTTGTTGCCTGCTTTTTGTACTATTTCACAAGACTTTTGAAAAAACTGAGGACACAATTTTGTCTTTTAGTTCAACTTTTTTTTTTTAAGGCAGAGAGCCTCTAATCCCTGTTTTCCAGAATGTGTATGATGTGACTTCCATGTATATATAAAAACGATTGCGCCCTAACCAAACTTCCTCAGATTGTGCACTGTTTGTTTAAAAGAATCATGTATTTTAGTCCAATGCTGTTGTATTTTTTTCATTTTATTTAAAACACTACGTATTTCTTATTCTTTTAACAAATTTTAAAGGATAGTGATCTTTAAAAAAAAAAATCACTGGATAACTAGGAAATATTTTTTGTTGTTTTATTTTTTAAAGAGTACAGAGGTCATCGAAACCTTTTGCTCCTCTTACCGTGAAAATGAAATGTTAGCCATTGTATGGCAGGAACCAATGCACTTGGTGGTTAGCAGATCTGCTGTTGCTGGAGTTTGAGCGTGGAACTTGATGCAGTGACGACAAATCATTGCTTAGAACTAATGTTTTAAAATGTGCAACTCTAGTTTTTAAAAGGAAAATTTGGTTCTTTACATTCATTATTTGGTTTTTGTTTCCATTTAGTATTTAATGGTCTTTGGAGAAAAAAATAATAAAACAGAGTGTTATATATATATTTTTTGGTGCAAGATAAGATTTTCTGTTTTTTGAAATAAGTCTGTAGCATAAAGGTTAAACTATTTTAAGACAAAATAAAATAGAGTGTATTTAAACAATGATACTTTCTGAGGAGTGTTTTTTTGTCCCCCACTGCCTGCTTCAGTTAATTAGGAGAGATCTGGAGCTCTTCCCAAGTTACCTATTGCATGTGAAAGTGGATTATTATTTGTTCGTTTAAATTTTGTTGTTTTTGAGAATATACACAGCAAAACATGCACCAGTTTAGCCCCTTCTGTATGTACCATTTAGTGACACTGATTACATTCAGGTTACGCAGCCATTATGTTACCATTTAGAGACACTGATTACATTTAGGTTACGCAGCTGTTCTCGTCCTCCTTTTCTGATTTGTGCCTCTCCCTCATTAACAAAAATTCACTGACCCCTGAGATTCCTTTCTAACCTGTTGATTTGCTCTTCTCACTGTTGATCCCATATAAATAGTTCTGAAAAGAGCATAATGATCAAGGCAGATATTTTTTGGTAGTTAAGCTAAATTATTGTTTAGTGTTAAGAAGACCTTGGGGGATATTTTTGGTTTAAGGCTTAAAGATTATCTCAGGGCAGTGGTTTCAGAGGTGTATCCAGCCTCCAGGATTCAGTCTATGAGAATTTGAAGTTCTCGTTTTTTGCTTTTTGATCAAGATTTTCCTATAGAATCTTTGATCAAAATGTTCAGTAATGCTAGCCAGGCACCATGTAGTTCTTTCGGTCTCATGGTAAAGGGAACATTTGCTCATGGAGGCAGTTAGCTGCCATTCCATATGCTCCTCCTATTCCTGACTCTCCTTCTTCCTGTGTTGTTCTAGGCAAATGGAGACCAGTTGTCTTGGCTCAAGTGAGTGCTTACACGTTTTCAAGACCCCCAGCACTATACCACTAACTAGGAGGTAGAACAGAAGCACCAAGTATGTTATTAGGCCAATTAGAGAGAGGATTATGTTTTGTTAACACTTAATGTTACAAGATACCTGATTTCTCCAGGCAATAATTGTATCCCTCCAAGGCCTGACTCTCAAGATGTTTTACAAGTGGCTTATAGTGTGTTGGGTGTAGATAAAAATAACTTTGCATTAGCTTTCATGCAGCTCCTACTTCCTTCGCCTGCTAGACTAGGTTATACAGAATCTCCAATGAGAATTCAAAGAGGGGCAGAGATTCCATTATACTGTTACCCTTGTTCCTGGGAACGAAACTCAGCTGCCAGTCACTTCCCAGAAAGTATACCAGGGTAAGACGACATGCACTTTGCACATAATTGACCATTGACGCAAGTATAGAATGCGTCAAAAAGAGCCTAAAGAACTTTTCCTCAAATTTGGTTTTGTTTTGAGGTTTTTCTTAAATTTTGTCTATCAAAATGATAGTAACTGCCGTGCTACATCCCATGACTTTTGTAATTTATCTTCATGTAAAGAAGAATGAAGAACCATAGATCTATATTTATTAAAACAGCAAAGTCCTGTATCTCTTCAATTTTCTGCAAGAATTTTTAGTTCTACTTGCACTGAAAAGAGATCTGCCAGTTACACTGTTAACAATTAGGAAATGTTCTGTTTTCTGAAATGATTCTTTTAAACACCACTTTGATCTAATATGACCTAGATATATTAGAGCCTATGAGAAACTCTTCTTTTCTTTGGCTCTAGAACAAAATTGTTTACCTAGAGCCTTGCTTTTAAACTCTTC